ATAGATAGATAGATAGATAGATAGATAGATAGATAGATAGATAGATATAGATATATATAAAATACACATGAACAGGGTGGCATCAGCTTCCTATTTTCAATGGGCTTCGGCATATAGGCAGCCCCATCGTGGGGTAGTTTGTCTGGCAACCTGGGGGGGTTCCCCCCCCCGTGTGTGTCTGTGTGTGTGTGTGGAGGATGGGGTTTCTTTTTCCTTTTTTTCTTTTTTTTAAAAAAAAGAGAGCCTAAATTTGGTTTCTCTCCTGGCACCAGTGATGTCCCCGTGTTATGAGTCAGAAGAACCTGAAATAGGCCAGCAATTAAATGGGAGCTTCTTCCCTGCCTTTCGTAGCCTCCTACTCAGAGGGTGCTGCTTTCTGGGCTGGGGTGGGGGGAGGAAAGCCAGGGCTACCAATCAGGAATCTGAAGGTGGTACCTTTGCACCAAAAAAGCTGCTTTCTGCTCAGTTTTACGGGGGTGGATTTTTTGGGGGGGGGGGGGTGGGGGGGGGAGACGGTTGGGGCGGGGAGAGCTAAAGTCTTAAAAAGTCTTCACCAAACCTTTGGGGGAATCTCTGCAAGCAGCGAGGTGAAGGGTCTCTCTTTCGATGGTGAGCATCCTGAGTTGATCGATATTTGCGGGGGGGGGGGGGGGGGGGGGTTTGTCCCAAGGGGGGAAAACGGATGTAAAAAAATGATGCAGTTCCTTCATAGAATAGAATAGAATAGAATAGAATAGAATAGAATAGAATAGAATAGAATTCTTTCTTGGCCAAGGGTGATTGGACACACAAGGAATTGGTCTTTGGTGCAAATGCTCTCAGCATACATAAGTACACTGAGAGTATATGTACATAAATCAGGCTTATAGTGGTAGAATAGTAGAATAACAATAGAATAGAATGGTAGAATAATAATAGAAAGGGATAGAATAGAATAGAGGAGAGGAGAAGAGAATAGGAGAAGAGAATAGGAGAACAGAAGAAAAGAGAAGACAAGAAAAAAGAAAGAGAAGGGAAGAGAGAATAGAATAGGAGAAGAGAAGAAGAGAAGGAAGGAAGGAAGGAAGGAAGGAAGGAAGGGGAAGGAAATAGAATGGAATGGAATGGAATGGAATAGAATAGAATAGAATAGAATAGAATAGAATAGAATAGAATAGAATAGAATTCTTTCTTGGCCAAGTGTTATTGGACACACAAGGAATTTGTCTTTGGTGCATAAGCTCTCAGTGTACATAAAGAAAAAATAGACTCTGAATACATCAAACGAAGCTGTTGGACAAGAGCTACCTGAGCAGGGAAATGCAACTGTGATCATCGGTTAATGGTGACTGCGGCATGGCCCAAGGAAGCTAATTTGCAAGCTTCCCTGTGGTTCTGCACCTTTGATTGGATTCTGGAGGTCAGTTCTTAAAAGTTTCTCGTTTTCTTCCAAAATGTTCTTGATCAGAGGAAGATGTGAAAATGGGAAATAGGCTGTTTCAAGGTTCTTGAATTAAAAGCATGGCATCTCTTTTCTCTCCTCTAGGAGATTTTAAAAGGACAATCTAGGTTTGGACATTACATTAAACCATGCTTGCTTAATCATGGTTTACTGAGTGCATTCTGAACGGCAGGGGTTGCTCAACATGACAGGCTGTAAACCATGGCTTAGAAACCTGGTTATAAATATCTCCTGCTTTCAGTGGAAAGTTAACACACCAACTCTATCATAGTTAATTGTATCGTGGCTTTCTAGATCACAGTTAATGGTTTCGCCCAAGATACAAGGTCATAAATAGTCTGTAACTTTTGCCTGTTCATTTAGGCAGAAAGGCATAAATAAAAATAACCATCATACAAAACATCTCCCAGCTGTATCGGAACTGCTCAGACGAAGGACTTCATTCAAATGTTAAGCTCTCTAGTGGCATATGTAAACAGTGTTTATTGAATAAGCCACATTTGGCTGATTTTGTGGGGGTTGGGTTGGGTTTTATTTAATGAAAGCTTATTGAATAAACATGGGAATTCATTTGCACAGTACTCTAAGCTGTCAACTATGGCTTTTGAGCCCAATTGTAGGGCTGTAAAAAATCTCTCCCCAAATCACGTAGCGTGCGTGACGAAAAAAGCTTTTTTGCACGAAAAGCTATTTGTAGCACGAAAAGCATTTGTAGCACGAAAAGCGATCTAATGAGAGATGACTATGATATGCCAGGTTGAGCCTTTCAATGTGTAACTGTTTAAGCAAATAAATTGTTCTTGGGTCCTAGTTTTGGGTAGAAAAACAAGGAAAATCAACAGGTGGCCACTGAAGGGAGAATAATGCAAAGAATGACCAAGGCATAGCAATAGCCCTTAGACTTATATACCGCTTTATAGTGCTTTCCAGCCCTCTCTAAGCGGTTTACAGAGTCAGCCTCTTGCAAACCCCAACAATCAGGGTCCTCATTTTACCCACCTCAGAAGGACAGAAGACCGAGGGCAACCTTGAGATAGATAGATAGATAGATGGATGGATGGATAGATGGATGGGTGATAGATGGAAGATAGATAGATGGATGGATAGATGGATGGGTGATAGGTAGATGGAAGATGGGTGGATGGGTGATAGAAAATGGGTGATAAGTAGATGGAAGATAGAAGAGAGATAGATTGTTAGATGGATGCATAGATAGAAGATAGAAGATTGTTAGCTAAAAGATAGATAGGGGAAGCCGGATTCACTTAACAACGTTAGGAAGAAAAGTCGTAACATGGGGAAAACTCGCTTAACCCGTTGCTCACTTAGCAACATAAATTTGGGGCTCAATTGTTGTAAGTGGAGGATTACATATATATAATGCCTTATATATAAGATATAATTATGGATGGTTGCATGGATGGATGAATGGATAGATGGATGGATGGATGGATAGATAGATGCATGGATGGTTGCGTGGATGGATGGATAGATAGATAGATGCATGGATAGTTGCATGGGTGGATAGGTAGGTAGATGGATGGATGGATGAATGGATGGATGGATAGATGGATGGATAGATAGATGCATGGATGGTTGCGTGGATGGATGGATAGATAGATAGATGCATGGATAGTTGCATGGGTGGATAGGTAGGTAGATGGATGGATGGATGGATGGATGGATAGATGCATGGATAGTTGCATGAGTGGATAGGTAGGTAGATAGATGGATGGATGAATGGTTGCATGGATGGATGGATAGATAGATGCATGGATGGATGGATGGATGGATTGATTGATTGGCTTATCCAAACAGAACAGGAAAGCAGGCTCAACTCTGGCCTTGCATACAGATAGTCCTTGATTTATGTTCTCAGTCGAGCGCAAATCTCCATCACTAAGCAAGACAGTTTTTAAGTGAAATTTCCCCCATATTTCTTGCCAGGCTTGTTAAGTGAATCACTGCAGTTGTTAAGCCTCCAGTCCCCCTCCCCCTCTTGGTTGCTCTTCTCTGCACTCTTTCTAGAGTCTCCACAGCTTTTTTACGTCGTGGCGACCAAAGTGGATGCCGTATTCCAAGGGTGGCCTTATTGCCAAGGCCTTATGAAACGGTATTAACACTTCCCATGATCTCGATTCTGTCCTTCTGTTGATGCAGTCCAGAACTGTGTTGGCTCTTTGGGAAGCTGCCGACTGGCTCACATTGAAGTGATACTTCCCATTTCTCTTGCAAAGAGGCTCGGTGCCGATCAGCAGGAAGGGAAACCTTGAGACGTCCATGTTTAAATTGGGGTGGGGGTGGGGAATCTGGTTGGATTTGGTTAAAACTTGGGAGCCAGCTAATCCAGGCAGAGGGAGGGGAAACCCAAAGGAGACAACTGGCTTGTCTAAGCAAGCAAAACTGGAGTGAGTTTTGCCCAGACTCCAGGTTTGGTGGCAGAAGTCAAAATTCTGATCTCTATCCAAATTCATTCCCGTTCTGCCTGAATAAGCCGTCAGCAAAATGAAGATTTCCCACTGTTGTTGCAGTATAGAGCAAATAGCCAGGATCTGGCATTAAGTTCCAGCTAAGATGATTTATTGCTCAGGTCAATACACAAGTATCTAGATAAAAGTCAACAGCATTCAAGAGGGATTGGATTTAGACTGTTTGTAATGATTCTAGGCTAATGACTTGTTTGACACCACCTCCAGTCTGCTCCTCTCCTATAGAATCCAATGTGAAATGAGAAATGAAAAGCCTGTTTCAGAAAATACACCCTAAATTTCAGGAGGTTCGTGCTTCCCGTTAAATAAGGTTTTAAATTTTGGATATGTGATGGTTTATTTTCAGCGAGACGCTTTGATCTTCTACTGTTTCAAGGTTCTGTCATTGTTTTATCCTACGTGTGTAGATTGAAGACACATTCTTGCAAATGTTATGCTTATCGTTGGAACGATAACAGTATGTTTATTGTTGTAATAAATAATGACAGAATTATTATTTATGGGGTTGTGGCAGTACAATATTTGGGAGCTCCTGTGATAGAGGGCATGTTGCATTAAAAAAAATGGTCCAGGCTGGAGTTTAGAAGCTGAACAGGTAGAGAAATTCTGTATCCTGCATTGTTTTAACATGGTTGTGGATAAGTTTTGTAAGGCTTGTAAGTAATCTCTTAGGGACGCAGTGGCTAAGACGCTGAGCTTGTCGATCAGAAAGGTTGGTGGTTCAAATCCCTAGCGCCGCATCACGGAGTGAGCTCCTATTCCTTGTCCCAGTTTCTGCCAACCTAGCAGTTCGAAAGCATGTAAAAAATGCAAGTAGAAAAATAGGGACCCCTTTGGTGGGAAGGGAACAGCGTTCCATGCGCCTTCAGTGTTTAGTCCTGCCGGCCACATGAGCACAGAGACGTCTTCGGACAGCGCTGGCTCTTCAGCTTTGTACTAGAGATGAGCACCACCCCATAAAGCCGGAAACAACTAGCACATATGTGCAAGGGAAACTTTTACCTTTAAGTCATATCTTAGGCTACAGATCGGGATATTACAATCGACAATAGAATAGAATTCTTTATTGGCCAAGTGTGATTGGACACGCAAGGAATTTGTCTTTGGTGCAAATGCTCCAAAGCTTTCATGCTGTACATGAAAGAAAAGATACATCCGTCAAGAGTCAAGACTCATCAGGTACAACACTTAATAATAGTCATAGGGTACAAGAAGCAATCAAATAAGCAATATCACATCTAGGCAGAGTTTGAGGTTCACTCCCTTTCTCTTTCTTCTCTCTCAAGGTCTACTTTGCGTCCGGATTCTCCCGCGAAGATTAGCTCCATGGAAAAGAAACTCCTTTTTAAGAGCAAAGAGCTGCAAGGCACTCAGGATAAGTGTCACAAGGTATTTATTCACATGGCCGGACTTCCTCCTTGCTCCAGAAGTCCACAACCTCTCCGGCCTAAAGGACTTACCAGAGGTTGACGTTGGTTGGCGGCTTCAGCAGAGAAGTTTCTCTTCATCGGGCAGAGGGAGATGAATCTAGATCATGCCTCGCTCCAGGGCTGCCCGTGTTAAGCAGAAGAAGCTCTGGATCCACCCAAGATCCTTGATCAGCCCAACTCTGGCGGGGGTTTCCGGCGCTTCACATGCCGTCTTCATCTGATGCTCTCTTTCTTCTCCAACTCTCCTTTTTGAGTACTGCAAAGTCTCGGAGTGCGTGTGCGTGTGTGGTTTTTTCCCCCCCCCTCCTCTTCCCGTTCCTCTTCTTTCTTCTTCTGTAACTGTGGCCGCGTCTTTTGATTTGCAACGAACCACGTTCTTCGGACTCTTTCTGGAAAGAAAAACTCCTTGGGGAACCCGTGGAAACTCCGTTCTCCTTTGAGGGACTTCGAAGGGAGCGACCGCACTTTTTTTTGCTTTGATCCGTCTTGATCTCTTGGTCCCCCTGAAAGATAATGGGGGCAAATCCTTTTCTGGCCCAAGATGGATTTGGGAGAAAGCTAAAGTGACTCATCTCTGGAGCGAAAAAGAGAGAGCGACAGGAAAAATAATAATACTAATAATAATACTAATAATAATTAAAAGAAACCCCAATCAGGTGGGGAAAAAAAAATGATTGTGACTTCTTTGCTAACCGGGGTTCGGAGAGGGACCGAAGGCAAAGAAGCCGCGTGAATGAATGGGGTGACTTAGAAATTACTGCTTTTTCCTTGAGAAGGAAGTGTGAATTTCCCAGGATCAGAAATAATGGTATTTAGCCTTTTAACACACCCTACTATCCACCTGTCTCCTTCCCGCCGGTGGTGTTGGTTGACACTGCCGGCTCCCCCGTACGCCCCACCGGAAAATCCCTCTTAAAACCCTTTTTGATGTCTGTCTGCAGATGGAGCAGGAAATGACGCGCTTGCACCGGAGAGTGTCGGAGGTGGAGGCTGTGCTCAGCCAAAAGGAGGTGGAGCTGAAAGCCTCCGAGACCCAACGCTCCCTGCTTGAACAAGACCTGGCTACCTACATCACAGAATGCAGTGTGAGCCTCTCCCTGCTCCCCAGAAATCCCTCCCTCCCTCCCTCCCTCCGGTGGGCCTTTAGGAGATGTCGAGTTGACCATTGGGAACCTACCTGTAGGTTTGGTGGCAGCGTCCAGAAATTGCTCCAGAAAGTTTTATCTTTATTGGAAAGGCCTTTGAAGTCTGTTTCGGGGGAGTCTGGGGAGCCTAAGGCTTGATGTGATACCAAGGTGAAAGAATGCCGGGAGTCCTCAACTTACGACCGCCATAGGGACCCCCCAAATTCCGGTTGCTAAACGAAAGGGAGTTTCCTTTGAAGGCTTTTTCTTTCCCGTGCTTCTTAAGGGGATTATGGCACTTGTTAAATTGGTCACGCGATTGTTAAAATGAACCTGGTTTCCCCGTCGACATTGCTTGCCAAAAAGATCTGCAACCGTCGTAAGTATGAGTTGGTTGCCAAGCGTCTGCTTTTGGACCGCGGGGACGCTGCAAAGGCCGCTGTGAAACATAGGTGTACGTCCCTTTTTTCCCCGGTGCTGTCGTAACTTGGAACGGACACTAAACGCACTGTTAGACTAGAAAGACCTCCAGGGTCTCTTACCAACTGTCTGTGATTCTGCATGGAGTTTTTTGGATCAAAAGCCTATTTTTGGCCTTCTCGGTCAGAAGATCTTCCTGCACCTGAGGTCAGAAGGCAGAAATTGCACCAAAAAGAAAAGAAAAGAGCAAACTAAGAGGCAAAATTTATTCGTCCACAGTGGTTTGGGGTTGTTGTTGTTTTTTTCCCTTCCCTCTTAGCCGACCGCCTTTGCTTGGGCCCAGTCTCAGACCAAGGGGGCCCTCTGTGTTGTCCAACCTTGTATTTTTGTTTTCTCCAGAGCTTAAAGAGAAGCCTGGAACAGGCTCGGATGGAAGTTTCTCAAGAGGACGACAAGGCACTGCAGCTCCTTCACGATATAAGAGAACAGAGTCGCAAGTTGCAGGAAATCAAAGAACAGGTAGAGATAGCTCTCTTTTTTTCCCCCCCATAATTTTTTTTATTTTATTTTTATTACAAACTTTTCCTCTAGGGGATTACATGATAGCAATGTTCCAGTATCTGAGGGGCTGCCCCAAAGAAGAAGGAGTCAAGCTATTCTCCAAAGCACCTGCAAACAGGACAAGAAGCAACGGATGGAAACTAACCAAGGAGAGAAGCAACTTGGAACTAAGCAGAAATTTCCTGATAGTGAGAACAATGAATCAGTGAATAGTTTGCCTCCAGAAGTTGTAAATGCTCCAACACTGGGAGTTTTGAAGGAGATGTATAACCATTTGTCTGAAGTGGTGTAGGGTTTCCTGCCTAAGCAGGGGGTTGGACTGGAAGACCTCCAAGGTCCCTTCCAACTCAGTTATTTGAATGAATGAATGAATTTTATGAGTGAACGAATGGAGTACCACATTCCACTAGGAGTCCCTCTGTGATTCCAGAATCTTTCATCCCCTCCATTTTCTGTTCACAAATTTCCAAAACCTCTGACTCCCCTTTCTGTTCTTCTTCAGGAGTACCAAGCTCAAGTGGAAGAAATGAGGTTGATGATGAACCAGCTAGAAGAAGACCTTATTTCTGCTCGCAGACGCAGCGATCTCTACGAATCGGAGCTGAGGGAATCTCGACTGGCGGCAGAAGACTTCAAGCGAAAAGCCACTGAATGTCATAACCGGCTCCAGAAAGTTGTTAAGGTCAGCTCCTTCAGAATTCCCGGGTTGATTTCTGATCTTGCCTGTCTCCTAACAGATGGAAAAGAGAGAAATTTGACTCGGTGGTAGAAGGTGTGCGCAGCCCATTCCCGCAAGCAGCAATGGCTGAGTTGTAGACTTTAATTTTTGAGAGTAAGAGAAAATCCATTTATAACAAACAGTTCATTTAATGACTGTTACAACAGCAAAGTGACTCGGGACCTATTTGTTGTGGCCCGCCGGCGGCTAGCGGAGCTGGCAGTACAAGTTGGACAGTGAGGAGGTTGTGGAGGAACCTGGGTCAATCCCAGAGGCTGAGGAAGATTCGGGCGAGGGCTCTGCATCAGAGGCAGAGATGGGGCCAGGGCAGGCTGGCAGTTATCAGCTGCCTTCGAAATCAGAGATCAGTGGGGCAGAAGAAAAGCTGGAGCTGCAATTAGATTAGGATAGCTACTTAAGAAAGATTCCCTTTCTTTCTTTCTTTCTTTCTTTCTTTCTTTCTTTCTTTCTTTCTT